GACATATACACAAAGTAATACATATAAAAATAAAAACAAAACTTGATTAGGTGGAATCCAGGGGTAAAATTTCAAATTCACATGTATTTTACTTCCTTTACTTACACAACATTATTTACTGCACTGATGCAGAATGGTGGCCTTTTGGTGCGACTCCTTTCCCGTCCTGCAGAATCATCCAGTTGTGACATGCTGGTCTTTTATTGTAACACCAAACACTTCACAACTGGCAGTAAATCAGAAATTAGCCGTGCAAACCTCAGTGTCATAATCTGTGTGCATGACACTGACAATTCTTGTGTTTTGCTTTTGTCTGTCTTTTCGGATTAGCTTTCCTCTGCTGCTTTTGTTCTAGATTTTCATTCAAAACAATCATCTGGATAAAAGCCCAGCTTCCATTATTTACACCTCACAGTGTTTCAGTGGCGCAAATCATATGATGTGTTTACGTGTGACTGATGATAAATACTACAAGGCCGTGTGATAGCTACCAGATAAAACATGCTGCCTGAATGCACCTTTAAAAAAAAAAAAAAAAGCTGCATTTCTGCGCTTTATAAAGGAAACATGAGTAAAAGGATTGCAGCTACACAAACATTGTCCAAATTCAAAGGTTTTTGGCCCTTTTTTAGCAAACCATTAAAGCAGTCCTCCCCTCTCAAAAACACACAGGCTTCTTTCTTTCTCGAGAGAGGCAGGAATCTGGATATCTGGGATGAGTGTTTCGCTGCATACAAATGTGCTTGAAGGCAACACTTAGCCAATAGAAGTGGATTAACCTCCATCCCATTCACTCGCTGCATGGCTCACCATCTGCAGCTGCGCACACACATGTTGGTACCTGCTCGGCTTCGCTTCTGAGGGAAAACACAGACATGCTGCGTGTTATCTCCAAGGTCAGAATGGACCAATCAGGCGGTTCATTGTGCAGATGATTTTTTTTCTTCTTAGCATGTGTACTGTTTACTGTTTATGTGTGTAAAATGTGGGTTGATATAGAAGGAACTGTGTCTATCTCAAGAGCTCTGCTGTGCTTATTATGGCAGCTGAGCGTTCACATAACTGTTATCTTTCTATTTATGAACCAGTCTGTTGCTTAAAAAAAACATTTCTTCACATTACTTTCATACAAAGTAGATGCAAAAACACACATCTATTAACTAATATTATTTTATTCCAGAAAGACCAAGACTGTAAAAACAAAACAGCTATATGGCTCAGTATGGGACACTTTAAACGGCACATATTTGGATTATCCTTAACTTTGACCTGCTTTTTTTTAATGCAAAATTCCAGCTTTATGTGCTCGTTAAAAGAGACTCTCACCTGCTGATCTATTGCTTATGTGTTATTTCCAATTCTGCACGTGTCGCAGTTGTTATTAAGGTCACAGATTAGGATTTTGGGGATGTGCATATGTTATTTGCATTTGCGTCTAGTATCTGTTGTTTTATGCGTTTGTTTGTGCGTGTGAAGCAAAGAGGGAGCTTAAGACTATAATAAGCTTAGCAGTGACTCCGGAGTCCATGTCAAAGTGTTTACATCAGCTCGGGAGTTAGTGTGTGTGTGTGTCTGTCTGTCTGTGTGTGTGTGTGTGTGTGTGTGTGGCGCACAGTGATGCTAAGTGAAGCTGACTGGACTAACCCAGTGCCCTCTGACTTACTGTCTCTCAAGTGCTGCTCATGTGTGTCAAAGTGAATCTCATCACAAAAATTTAACAACTGCTCTGGTTTATTTTTGGCTAAAACGTTGTGTAGAATATTATCCCGGTGCTGACCTTTACACATATAAACAATCTACTGTGTACAATTTGTAAAGAAAAGTGTAAAATGGTTGATTGTGACCGACTGGCTTTATTAGGGTCCGAGGACCCCTACTTGTATTCTGAATTAATTTTTAAAAAAAAAACAAAAAAAACAACTGACTTATCGCACACTGTACATTTTTATATTTCAGACCTTTTCACGTTTTCTTCAAGGCATCACATTGTACGTTGTTCAACACTCTATATTAAGACATTATGTTTTGACTGACAGTTTTGCACACATTTGAACGTCACATTTCACAAACAGGACAAGATTCAGTACTTCTGTTCTGTTCAGTGTCAGATGTCGGATCTTACCTGTGATTGTAGCTGAAAGAATTTATTTCCCTGCAAATGATCAATGAATCACTTCTCTATCTATAATACGCTTCAGAAACCTTTAGTCCTGTTAAAACCACAAGTGTTTGTCCAACAGCATCAACCAGCAGCCAGATGTGATGAATTCAGTAGAACCACACACGTGCAGAAATATGTTTTCTTTTCTTTCTATTTAAATTATTTGGGGGACAATTTAGAATATCCAATCAGCCTAAGGGTTGTGTTGTTGGGGTTGTGGGAGGAAACCGGAGATCCCGGGGAAAACCCACGCAAGCACGGGGAGAACACAAAAACTCACCACAGAAACAGGTGGAAGTGTTTCTGTGAGGCTGCAGCGCTGATCGCTGAGCCACCGTGCTGCCCTTTGGGGGAGGAAAGAGGGGGGAGGGAGAGGGAGAGAGGGATGGAAGAGTGGGGGAGAGGGGTGAGAGAGGTTTAGGGATGGGGGAAACAGGGGAGAGAGGGTTAGGGATCGAGGAGAGAGGGGAGACGGGGTAAAGGAAAGAGAGGAAAGAGAGGGCGAAGGAAGGAGAAGAGGATTCATGGAGCGTTGGTTGAGGGTGGAAAAGATGGTGGAGGAAGAAAGGGTGAGGACAAGAGGAGGGAGAAGGGAAGATGGGGGAGGCAGAAGGAAGGTGGAGAAGGAAGGGTAGACTTGTTCAGAAGAACCAGAACCTTCTCTTTCTCTGTTTCTTCTCTTTTTCTTTCAGCTCCCTCTCTTTCTTCTCCTTCTTTGCTTTCTTTTTCTTTTCTTTCAGTTCTTTGATGTTTTGTTTCTCCTCCTCTGTGAACCTCTTGAACAGTCCCCATCTTGACTTCTGAACCAGGAGATCTTGGAGCTCCATGGCCATCTTTAGGCTTTTAATGACCAAAAATAGCAACAAGCTTGGTTAAGATAGACACAGCGCTCATGTCTGCTGAGAATCAAGTTATAGAAAGTCAACCCTTAACAACTACGACGTTTGTTTAACTGCTTCACGACTGCAGCTTCCATGTATAATACATATTGCGCCCTGTTGTCACACTGATTGTTTAGGGCAAAAATAACAACCTGCAAAGAAGAAGTCTGATTATCAGGCAGGTGAGAACTCAGATGGAATGAAATTTATCTGCAATCTGCATCAAAAGACTAAGAATAAAATGACAAAAAAAAAAAAATGCAGCCATGAAAGTGAGCGCTGAGGAGCAGAGCATTTTCATTTCACCTCATTACTGCAGGTGAATGCTGTCATGAAAAGCGGATGCTGGAAATAAATCTCTGCTTAAAGCGGCCCAGTATTGGCAATGAGAGTGTTGTTGCTGAAGACAGAGCAGCTTCTAATTGGCCGGCTCAATCTCCTCATCCCATCCTCACACATCCTCTCTCTCTCTGTCTCTCTCTCTCTCTCTCTCGTCCTCCGACTTGACTGATGCCGTGTTTGCTCCAATCCCTGCAGGGCCGTGTGAGGCGAGGAACCAATAGCATGTCGGGGAAGGCGGAGCTGGGAGCAGTCGGCCAGCTCCAGGCAGAGATGCTGCATTTGGACCTCATCGACGGTGCTGACGGTTACCGCGGTGACAAAGAGTCCTCCAAGGCGTCCGCCATCGCACCTCCGCCGGTCACCAAGGACCCCGCAGCACCTGTTACCATGGATACTTACCGGCCCAAGAGACCCACGACCCTTAACCTCTTCCCGATTGTGCCACGCACACAGGTAGGGCCACAGCCGCATACACACACTCTCCAGGTTCTGGCAGACGGCCGGATATTGATCCAAAATCAGGGAAATTGGAGAAAATGTTGTCTCAGTGGGATTGATTTTTTTCCATCTGTGTATCTGCCTGTCTGGGCTTCACATGACACATAGATATTCCATTCGAAAATGAAAATAAGAGCGGACAACGGAGCGGCCGGACACCACCGCTGGATCCACTACAATTGTTTCTCTGACAGGATGTGTTTTCTGGACTGAACAATAGCCTCAATTGTCAAGACTCACTGATTCTCTCTTCTTTTTTTTTCCCTCCCTTGGTGCCCGTCTCTGTTTGTGCTTGAATGCTGCTCGAGCTCGTGACTGTGTGAGTGTGTGTCCACGGACGTCAATCTTTGTGAGAGCCAACCTTTAAGAGGGAGGACATTTTGTCTTACTTTGAGTGTTTAGCGTAGGGAATGTATGGAATCAATAAGGGCTCGATGTACAAACACAAAATGTGCGCGTTTGGGAGAGGTTGTGTGTGCGACAGTGCAGGTATGAATGAAAAACTGTTCATATGTGCACTCCAGAGCAACACGTACAAGCATTTCCTGATGTGACGTCCGTTTCTGGACAAGGACGTTCTCGGTTCGTGCCTTCAAACGTTGCAAATCGCTGATAAAATTCAATGACAATGCTGTGGTTGAGGTTGTAAAAGCTTTGTTGTCATGGTTACGAGATAAACGTAAGTAAAAGAAGGTGAACAGCGATCTCTCATGTGAGACATTCCACACCTCCAGCCTCCTCATGAGCTTTGATGCTCTATGATAACATCACCTGCACCTGTGATAAGTCACAGGGCGGCTAAAGGGCTTCTTCACTTCAACCTAAATATGTATTTTTTTCTGGTGACACTTGACACAGTTGTTGTGTCTCTGACTTCATGTAAAACTTGAAGTGGCAAAAGAAAATCTTTCCTTAGTTCACATTGATGCATCTGTGGCCTTCAGTTTGATTCATTCCGAAAACCTTTAGCAGCAGCCAAGCGCTCCACCTTTATGCACCGGCTAACCTCGTGTTTAGCGCCGGGCAGGTGGTGCAAAGTGGGTTTATCAGATCTCGTTAGGTGAAACGAGCCGCCGACTGCTGCTGCAGGCGACAGAGTTGATTAGAGCAGTGAGTAAACTGTGCAGTGAACCAAAACTATGAGATAAAATGGGCTAAAAGTCTCTGTAGAGCTGCAAAGTTTTAGACAGCGCTCTGGGAGTTCAGCACTTTTATATTAATCGTAGTTATCTGACCCAGTTTTGGGATCAGATGGGATTTATTGATCCCTCACTGGGTGAAATTCACACGTTAGAGCAGCTAAATACAAATGAAGGCCAGTAAGAAACAAGACAAGGAAGGGAAAAGGACAGCGAGGGTGTACATAAATACATAATAAAGAGTGTGTGCACCTTTTACATGTGCAGGTAAGGCATGATGGGTAATGCAGCCAAGTGTAGGGCACGTGCATTGTGCAGAATTGTGTTGTAATTGTTCATGTTATTGAACTTGAAAAGCTACAGAGAGAAAAGACCAGTGAGCTACACGAGACAAACGCTGTCGCACGATTATTCAAACCGTGTAAATATTAGTTGAGGAGAATGAATTCAGACACTTTACAGACAAATCAAAGCTCCCACCCTCCTGCCGACACCTATTAACTGGAGGGAATTAAATTGTCCGAGGGCAAGATTGAGCAATTCGGGGCATGAATAATTAATTGAAGGGATCAAATTAAATGCTGTTCATTGCAGTGTTACACATGTCACGCCCCTTTGTGCATTTACATTTAAAGAAACTGTGCTTTAGCAGGAATGTGAACGCCTGCATGGTGGACCTCCTGTTATGCAACTTGGATATGAACGCTAGTGAGTTTTCCTGCGACTCGAACGCACACACACGCCCCCGCAGTGCAGCCTGTCAACATGATCAACTAAGCAGCTCTATATTTGTCTGCGCTTTGTTCTTTGCCCAGTTTCCGTGAAGTGGAAACAAGCTTACTGTACTCGCCTCTGCGCCTTTTGTTCTCGCGTGTGTTGTTGGAGCTGTCAGAGCCACAAAAGTGTAAAAAGGAAATAATTGCTCTCTAACGTTTTTCTTCTTCTTGGGAGGTCTTCTCCTGTCTGCTGGGACGTCGTTTGCCCTCCCCTTTGTGCAACAACTAGACAAATCAAATATTTTATTGTTAAGTGTATGAATGTTCCCTGAAATGTGTGAAGACATGAAGCAGCATCTTGTTGCAGAAGATTTCTGGACGCTTCAGGTGGAGCTCAGTGGTTGTTTCTTCTGGTCTGGTTTATGTGAGGGTCTAGCTGTGCTTCTATAAACCATTATTTTATTCTTCAGTTAACAATCTTAAGATGTCAGAAAAGCTTTTTGCTGGACGTTTGGCTTTTAATTTAGGAATCCCAATTGGCTAACAATGAAGAAATGGGTGCACTATATGAACCTGTTAAATGTGTTAAATGAGACAGTTTTAATTAAAAATGCAGTGAAATAATGCTGCCACAAATCCCCAAGTAATATCAGCTTATTATTAAAGGCGGTCCAGTGTGTTTTCATTCCTTTAAATCTAATAAAGTACAAAGCTAGTCTGTGTCCTACAAATGCTGACAAAAAGATCCCAACCATGTGACGATTAAAATCCAACTGATTCTGACGTCTGGATAACATGCTCACAACAACAACAACGGTGGTGTTTCGTGGTGGCTTTTTGTTGTCATATAACTGAGACACTGCAGCAGCTCAGCCAGTTCAAGCAGAGCTGACAGCGAAGGTTTATTCAGGCAGCGCAGACGAAACAAAGATGAGAGAGATGATCGCTGATGATTCCCAGTCGGTTTTCCGCAGACTGACACTGTCAGAAGACAGAGAGGGAGAGAGAGCAGCACACTGGGTGGCTGTTTCCAGGTCAGTGGATCAGTAAAAATGCAAAATATACATTTGGCTCTGCGTCATTTGGCAGAGTTGTGTGGTTGAACAAAAGCAGCCTTGAACACTGCTCAGGGTTGAAGGCTTTTGAAGAGCAATATTTTTAGATCCCCTTGTGTCAATTTGTCAAACTTGGATGAAAAATCCAAGTTATTTTTGATGCAGAGGTTTAAAAAAAAAAAACAAAAGCAGGTCAGAATAGATTTGTTCCCCATTTTAAAATAAATACTACTAAATTAAAAAAGCAAAGGAAGCAGCAATATGCACAGTGTAATGAGCACTTTGCACAAACAGGGAAGGTTTTGTTTCACTCGTGTGATTCAATGGACACGGAGACAGACGTCAGGAAGGATTCCTTCGTCTTAATCCGAGTCCGACTCTAATCGCTCGTCTGGCACGTTCCTTATGTCCAACTGCAAATGCCGTGCACTACTACTACTAATTCTACTGTACTACGCTCCAAGTTTTACCCAGATACAGCTCTGCACATTTGCAAAGTCCAGAATTTGTTGAAAAAGAGGCACATTTATTAGAATCATTTTGTTTATATTTGTTAATAGTTTATCTGCTAACTAGAACAGCAGATTGATTTTTTTCCTTATAATTTAGAGCGTTTTAGTGAAAATGTACAACATGTTTGTTCATTTACCTTCATTTTTGTAGTTTACTGCACAAGGAAAAGACAAATATGGTCAATTTAGCTCAGAAAGTCTGTGATAGGCTGAGAGAACTGTCAATCAAGACAAACGCCCTCCCAGATAAGTCCAGTTTATTATCGGTTTTATTAGCACCCGCTGAGTTCATTTCTGAGATCGGAGGAAACGTCCAGTTGTTGTTCAGGTCGTGTGTCGTCACAGTCACCTCCATGCAGAGCTGAGTCACCGATACACTCAACACCAGCGCTGATCTTCTTGTCTCAATGGCAAGAAAAAAAAAAAAAGAAAAGAAAACAGACTTCAGATCAAGGCTGCTGATTCACCGGTTACCACGGCAACAGCCCTGTCTCCGCCTGGTACGCGTAGACAGGAAGTGAGTCATGCGTGGTGGGTGGACGGAGGAGGAGGAGGAGGAGGAGAACTGGATCTTATTTTGGACCTGTCGTCGTCACAGGAGTTTCCAGTTCTCCTTCCATCTGCTCGCATCCACCTTTACCGTCTTCTCTCATCCAGAGCCCAGATTTAAACCACCGATGTCTTCGTCTGACTGCGCCAACAAGACACAAAGACTGTCAGATACTATAAGTCCTGTGAGATGATAGATTTATAATCTTGCTTCACAGCTTTTGAAGCATAATGTTGCAGATCATGTCTTTTAAGTTGAGCTTAAACAGTCGTTTATTGACACGTGTTGATCTGAGCAGTGCAGTGATTCATGTGGAAGTGTGTCTGTGTCCAGTGTTGACTCTCTTCTAGCTGGTGTTTCTACCAATTCCTGAGAGAAAATAAATAAATAATAATAAATAAGTCTGGCCCCTTACCTGCTAAATTACTATCATTATTCACAGTTACATTCACGTCAAATGTATTCATCCCCGTCCATTAAAGAAATTCACAACAGTCACTCAAATAAGTAGAAACTGAAAAAAGTAATAATAAATAAAAATTTGTTAAATTATAATTTAGTGAAATAAGACATTGCTTTTGAATTGTGGTTGAAAAGAATAATTTAAAAAAACAAAAAACTGTCCCGGACGAATTACAGCAGCTGTTTTTTTCCTTCTTTAACGGGAGGGTATGAATATATTTGAGGACTGTAGGTAGTTCACTTTTTTTTATTTTTTTGCTTTTATTTTCATGGAACAGCTTCCCTCTGTAGCCAGTATAAAAGCAGTGAGAGTAAATGAAAGCAGAATAAATAAACCACAGGCAGAATAACTGAACAGCTTTATTTACCAGGCGTTACATAGCTGGTGCCAATACATTTGCTTTAATCTAACACCTCACCACAATACCCATCCCGAGTCTTGTCTGTCTTTCACACCTTTAAACGAATGTGTTTTCTGAAGGATTTTACGCTTATGTGTGACTTTTCAAATTATTTCAGCGCTTTCGCATCTACATTTTGGGACATGGTACCACAGTCTGTACTCAGATCTCTTACTGGATTATAAGTAGGAATACACACAGAGTACAACAACTCTGTTATATGTTATATGTTGGAATTGAATGAAAGAATGAAGGTGTTAGGATTAAGATGCACCTAAAGTACCAAAGATGTACTCGAAGAAGAAGTACGTAATATGCACACTGGCTAATTTAGAGTCATATATGTGCAACTCATTACACATCACTCCAATGTGCAATGATGATACTTTATTCCAAGGCATACGTTTGTTATTCTGTCTCTCTGTTAGCAAGATCACACAAAAATTATACTTAATTAAAAGTTGGTGGAGATGTGGAGCTCTGGCTTAAGACGAGCTTATTTTATTCTGGAGCGAATCTGAACAACTTCTGAAGACCTTTTTTAAATGAGAATGTGAATCTGCAAAGCAGTGAAACTTTAAAATGTGGCTAAGCGTATAGCAGAAACGTTTACCACGATAACATATTTGATTTCAGTCAGTGTGGATAATTACTGATTATTGTTAATGAGAAAATGGTTTAATTTGAATTTTAGCTACTTCATCAAGGTGCGCTAGTCATGATTGCACAATAATTAAAAACATGCATTAAATAAATTCACTGCAATTTTATCACTCAGGCTTACTTTGAAATAAAAGTTGTGGGATAAAAAGTAAAGCATTTGCTTGTAAAGAAGAGAATAAAGTATCAGAAGAAGTAGCTCAACGTGTTTAAGTGTATTTTATTCCTTCTCTCCACTGGTTTGATCTTTGTTCCACCGTCAGAAAATGCGACCAGGATGTTTTTGCAATTTAAATGATTGAAATTCCACGTATTGTCCATCAGAGGCCACGTTCATAGGTTAACCTTTGACATCTCGTGTAATCCAAACACAACAACTCTGCTTTTAGAGGCTTCTACCTTCCTCCCATGTATAATAAAGCAGCGGGCAAAATGCTAGGAATACTTAAACCATCCACTTTGTCCTCAATGATCGCACTTTTTTGGACAACCTTAACAAAAAACTGAAAATGTAGAAGCAGTGTGAGAGTGTGTGGTGTAGCAGTGTGGCTGCTGTTGTGATCCCATGCAGCTGAGCATTATTAAATCAGACATTTTCATTATAAATATGCATTTTATGCAGTACTTTATCGAAGAATAGCTTGAACAGAAGTGTTTGACTGCCCCCTCTGGCTCGCGTCTCGGACTGGGTGTGGTTGGTTGTGGTCACAAGTGCACCGGGTCGGATCTAACAACCCCGAACAGCGACGTCACTGAAAACACCCCCTAATACTCTCATAAACCGCCGCTAATACATTATTCAGTCCTCTTTTCACCACTTACACCATTCGCCCATCTTTTCATGGATTTGCAGTTGGTTTATCATCTGTTTTTATTCATAAAATAGTTTGTTTTTTCCCCCCAAATGAGGCTAGATTTTTACTTTTTGTAGTGTGATTTGGATAAACTGACCTTTTAGAGTTTGAGAGAAGATGTTTGAGAACTATCCAGGTTTCTATGTACAGCCTCTAGAGCCTCTGTGTGGCTCCCAGCAGCTCTGCTAAAAACGTCTGGTCCCTTTAAATGCACACCACGGAGCACGGACAAAAGAATCCCTGCTCATTCAACAGAATAAAAGGTTTGTGTGCGAGAGAGAGAGAGAAAGAGGAGGGGAGAGACAGAAAAAAAAAAAGTTGTACACATTGTGTCAGGATTCAAACTTCTCTCTCGTTCCTCCTGGTCTCATCTCTTTCTCACCACTCCCTTCTTCTTCTTCTTCCTCTTTTTGTTTTCTTTCAGGACACATTAAACAACAACTCCTTTGGCAAGAAGTACAGCTGGCAGGAGAAGGTTTCGGGCTCGTCCTCGCCTCTGAAAACAGGTGAGCTTTCCTTTTTCCCACCACGTCTTCATGAGTTTTAGTTGAAGTGTCAGCTGATGTGCAGTCCAGAATCTGTTCACATATCGTCCTGTGCTGCTGCTGCTGGCTGACAATCTCACTGAACGCATGTGTGATTTGCATTCTGTGCGCCTCTGCGGTCCTCAGGGACTCGGATTAGCTGCTAGCCGAGGCGCTGTGTGTTTGTGTTCATGGTTTATATAGCTGGGAGCTGTCATCGCTCATTGTTACAGCGCCGTTCAAAACACCACGTGAGGCGACCAAACTCACTGCCAACTTGTTGGGAAATATCACTTGTTATCTGAACTATGTTAAAACACACCCGTGGAAAAGAAAAATGAATACAACAAATAAGGACTTTCATTCAGTGTTGAAATCAACTCTACAGCAAATTGAGCTGTTTTTAGAAATACTTTATTTATCCCAGAAATTCCTGTGGAACAGCAGCAAGAGAAAAACTCCAATCACAACAGAAAAAAAGAGCTAAAGTTAAATACTATTTAAAAAATTAAAAATAAGTGAATAAAATAAAATAAATAAAACAACAGAACAAAATGTGCAAAATTCGTGTGTTTGAGAGTTAATGTTATTTAGATGTTCCTGCCAGTGTTCCACCTGTTTCGCCATTTGGTAAAAAAAAATAAAGATTACAGTCTCTACCTATGAAAAAAAAAAACAAGAAAGCTGTTTAACCAGCAGCATTTCAGCGTTTCTTTGGACACACGCCCAGTTCGGAGGTGCCTCGGGTGCACACTTTCTGTCGTTCATTTCCACAGTCACACAGTTCATTTCTCCTCTCACTAAGAACTCTTAGACCTACTGTGTTGCTAATGAATAGAAATGGGGCTATTACGCAAATGTAATTATACGCAAACGACTTCCCAAAGCACCAAAGAAGTCTGTTTTATGAGTCGTCTGATAAAACTCTGGATTGCAAATCAAAGTGATGGAGTGCAGAAGTTGGTGCGTCTCCGCCAGGAATTTTCCGGCTGTCATTTCTGACATGAAAAGAGGATTAACTGTTGCATCGAATGCTGTCTGTGATGATGCATTGTTACGCAACAAACATGCAGACTTTTATTCGTTTGAGGGGGAAACATGTCGGTGTTGTGCTGAGCCGGCCCACATAAAAGCTGCAGTCTGTGTGAACGCTCACCTGCTGCCACGTGGCCTCACCAGAGCCGCATCGTTCACAGCACACATATCATTCCTGGATTATGACATAACACATCAATCACCTTCTCCTGGCTGAATTTGATGAGTAATGGGGATTTAGCTGCGTAATCCCGATTCCTGACATGCGTTACCTAACCATTTCTACTTTTCTCTCTCCGTGTTTGTGCTTTACTTTATCTGCCTGTGCATTCGCTGCCATGTCTGCCTTCGCGTCTGTCGGTCATGCCTGCATCTCATGTGTTTCTACTGTGTGTGTGCGTCTGGCCGTTGTGTGTCTGCGCTTGCGTGGCCGTCTGCGTGTTTCTGCTGGTGTGTGCGCTCCCTGTAGGTGACCTCACGCCTCCACGCGAGCACAGCTGCCTGAGCGACGAGGACAAGGTGCAGGGCGGCGGAGCGCAGACCAAAGACCGCGGGACCTCCACCGACGCCCCCTGCAGACACAGCCACACCTCGGGACACTCGCACGGCTCCTCCACGGCGGCCGCCACGCGCTCGAAGCTCCAGGAGAAGCCACCAGCACCGCCGCCGCCGCAGAACTACACACCAGCTCCTCTGTACCCTGCAGGGAAGGCGGATGGCGGCGGGAACCACCGGGAGAGGATTCGATACCACACGGATGTTCACCTGGAGCCCACAGAGGAGATCTATCTGACTCCCGTGCAGCGTTCTGCAGACCCTCTGGAACCCCCCAACGTGCAGGACCGGCCGTTCCTCTCGCAGCAGACTGAGCAGGGACGCATGTCCATCAGCTCCGACACAGAGGGTCCACCTCCTTATCAGCCCCTCCCGGACCGGACCAACCCCTCCATCTTTGAGGAGGACGAGGTCTACGTCCCGCCACCTTCGTATGCTTCCTGCGTAGAGTCCCTCATCACACCACCCAGCATGGCCATCTCAGCTCGCTCCTCCCTCGCCCTGGACCTCAGCCTGAAGGGGACGGGGGCCGGGGCCATGCTGAGGGCCGGGTCATCGGTGGAATATGTCGACGCCACGGACGACAGCTACTGCGGGGAGGACGAGGATGTGGACAGGATAATAATGGACAGAAGGATGAGGAAGGGGGGAGGAAAGGGAGACGGTGGCGGCAGCAGAGCTGTCCCACCGAGGACTTCCATGAGCTCGGAGGCCAGCGGTTTATCGTACGACTCGGTCAAATACACGCTAGTGGTGGACGAGCACGCTCAGCTGGAGCTCGTCAGTCTCCGGCAGTGTTACCAAGGCTACAGCGACGACAGCGACTCGGCCACCGTCTACGACAACTGCGTCTCGTCCCCCTACGAGTCGGCCATCGGGGAGGAGTACGAGGAGGAGGACGAGGACGACGAGCATCGGATAGGAGGAGTCCGGAGGGAGGCCACGGCCTGCCTCTCTGAAGACTCCACTCCTGAGGCTGACCTGCACTTCTCCAAGAAGTTCCTCAACGTCTTCATGAACGGCCGCTCTCGCTCCTCCAGTAAGTCACTGATGTTCCCTGATGATACATGATACCAACAGTCTCACATCTTTAACATCTGTTTACAGAGTCAAAAACATATATTTAAAAGTGATGGATGGTCACAAGTTTGGTTTTTCTCTGGAACTAAACGACTGACAGCATGCAAAGACGTTCCCTCTGTTTTGCATATCAGGTATCCTCATAGTGCTTCTTTACATGTATTGTCTGTTTCACTCATTTCTGAGACTCAACTCTACATGTGGACACTAAATCCCTTCCTCTAAATCTGTAAAGGTGCAAATGCAAGAACATACACACTGCATCAATATAGTGCAAACAGCTGTGAGCTATGGAAGGACAGTGAAGTAATTAGCAGAGTATGAAGTCACACTGACTCTTTGTGTGGGTGTAATCTAAGCATCTCTGGTTTTCTAATCCAATCTGGCCCTGTGTTCATGGGACTCCCGCCCTTTGAATCTGTTGGCCATTTCTGCACATACAATTTGTGTGCACTTGCTGTATTTCAGTCTGAGAGTCTCCACTGCTGTTTTGCAGCTCTCCTCTGCCTTTGCTTCTTGCTCTATCTATCTGTTTCCTCATGTCCTGTCTGGAGCACAACCAGTCAAGTGGCTAAACTGTGTTTCCTTGGCTCTGGAAAACAACCTTTCTGCTTGTAAATGAAACGTGTTTTGTTTTGGTCTGAGATGCTGGAGCTTTAGAGACATCCAGTGGTTCTGAATGCTGCATACAGAACCTTTTTTTGTCAGACAGAAAAGCCCGGCAGAGGATAGTTAGAGGAGCTGAGAGGGTCATCGGAGTTTCCCTCCCCTCTGTCCAAGAACTTTACCAGAGCAGGAGCAGGACACTGAACATTGTCAGGGACTCCTCACAGCCTCTCCATGAACTGTTTGAACCATCTGCCATCAGGGTTCCGGTGCATTAAAGGAAGAACCTCCAGAACCATCAACAGCTTCATGCCACAAGCTGTCAGAATGCTGCTGATCCAGATATGCAAACACTTGTTTATTTAAATTGCTTTAAGTTATTGGATCCTGAAGAAACGCTCTCTCGACGACAATAAACTTGATTTGATTTAAATTCCCCAAACATGATTGCATGTAACAGCCAAAGAAGCACATCAGCACTGCAGGCTGCTCTTCTGTGTAATTCCCTTTAAACATACAACAACGCCGGAGTGAATGCTGTCTAGCCAAATTGGCAGCGTGGCGTTCAAGGCTTAAAGCAGCGGAGCTGATGAAGCAGAGTCACAGAGATGTTCAGAAATTTTTTCGCACAGCACAGAAAACCATCCACATCATGACGCTGTCACATTCGGGAAAACTCTGCGAATGACTGAAGGGTTTTTGCAAGTAGCGTTTAGCAGCAGCGTACCATCAGTGTTAACGTGTTTTGTATAATTTCAGTATTGTCAGTTCAGCTTCTCAGTCTTGTAAATAAAAGCTGCAGTTTTTTGCTGCTCTGTTGATGTTGTTATCAGCAGTCTGACAGCAGCACACTGGGAACACAAACCCAGCTGGACGTTTAAACAGCCTGCAGGGTGAAAGGACACTGAGCCAGAAACAGCTTGCACTTTCTTGGATTTCTCGCCTTCTCATCCGTACTAGATCAAACACAGACTTTTTACTGGCGTTGGCGGTTCTATGGAAGGTATTTGGAAGAACTGGGGAGGGGTATAAAAAGGCAATGACACAAGCAGAAAGTTTATTTATAAGTCATGTTGTGCTTTTTTTTTATGTCGCTGAACCTGCCAAATATTTTCATACCACCTGGAGCTTTTTAGTACATATGTGACAATTTTGTTGAGGAGCTTTGTTGACTGTCTTCTTCAGTGTTTTGTGTTCAAATGTGATCTAGTTAATCCTCACAAGCTGCAGTGCAAACACACATTTTTGACGGAGAAGCAGCTCCTCAGTTTGGGCACAAACTCTGAGGGCTGGATACTCCCCCGGTCTAGCACTGTGCTCTAATTAAGATAAAAATCAATGCAACAGAACCAGATGGCACTTTTTTTTTTCCCCCCCTGTGCTTTTCTTTCCAAAAATTGGCACCTGCATTACCCACAATGCAACTCAACCGCTGACAGTTGTGATTTGGGTTTGTTTTGCTAACAAAAGCGGCTAAGGCAGCGTCAATCCACTCGCCTTAAGCAGGGATAAGGAGTAAGCTCTCTCATTTTAAAATGTGTAGCCCTCAGTCCCAGCAGATAGCGAGTTAAGAAACATCCCATGGCTGTATCTTTGTCCTCTCCTCGTGGGAAAGACGACGCCGGCCTGAGGAGAGAGAGGATGATCCTGTGATGGAGGATTGTAGGTTTTTACCTTCATTAGACTGGCGCTCACCTTTGGAACACACTGGGACATTCACTGACCCACAGCACGGTGCGAATGTGTGGGAGAATTCCTGTGGAAGAGGCGGAGGGGTTTGTTTTTCTGCGCGGTTGTTTCCTGGCTGTTCTCTTGGACGCCGTCCATGTATTCTACAGACTCATTAGAAGCACAGTTTATCTGAGTAGGCGGTCACGGATGTCTCTGGGGGATGTAGGTAGAAATACACAATGCTCATCTGTTTCGTGCCTAATTAAAGAATGATTTATAGTTCCCAGGGAGTGCATGTGTGCTTAAACGCAAACCTAAAGCGCTCCGATTGTGTTTCCTGTGTGTGACGGACTTTTGTTGCTGTTTGAAGTCATTCATTAATCCTTTCACCGGCCTAATACAGACGCTGACACTTCTTTGTTCTTGGTGTTCAAGGTGCAGAGTCATTTGGATTATATTCCTGTATCATAAACGGAGAAGAGAAGGATCAGAGCCACAGAGCAGTTTACAGGTGAGGAAGAATGACATCATCATCATCATCATCACCACCTACATCCCAGGAACACATGCAGATTCGGTGATTCCTTTCCAGGCTTTTATATCTTACATCAGACAAATGTGAAACTTAGGAGCACCTCACAGGCCACAGTATGTAAGCAAGGAGACACGCTGTCAGCTCAACCATAATTAACCAATATTTCTTTAAACAGATGAATGAAATGAGCATAAAGTGTGAAGATCAGTGTGTGTGGATGTGTCCACAAAACAAGGGTCAGTGCACCTGGAAAAGTCACTAAAATGTTCATATTAACTAACGAATGTTCAAATATTCAGATAAAACGTCTCTGGAGTCAGAAAGGAACGCTCGTCTTTGTTGCCCCGTCACAGTTATTCTTAGCAAAGATGTCAGTGGATCTCAGGATTTAGCTCGACTGCCATTCATTTTAATTAACACCTTTACACTTGACACAGTTTTTTCACATTATTCAACTCAAAGTCTTTTATATTCCAGGACGCACAGCCTCCAGTTGGTGGCTGAAAAGCTGATACATGTTCAGCATTTCTCAGTTTGTTTTCACAGTCAGCGAATCGGTTAGGCTGTTTTTCTCAGACGTTTAAAAGCTAAATGTGGTTGAAAGGAGTTTTATTATTGATAAATCATCACTGGAAAAGTGACTTTTTTTTTCTCCCAAGTTGCTTTCAATGAATGCATTAAACCTTTTCCATGTCTGACAGTAAATCTCAGTAATGACGAGGATGCGAGTGAGAAAAAGGAATAATACCTTGAGCTCCACTCACTCACTCACTTTCTTTCTTTTTTTTTGTTTGAGCACCAAAAAACACTTAATTTCTTCATATTGCCTCAGTAAAAGTCACACTCCAGTTAACAGCGAGGACGTACAGCTGCTGTAAAGACCTCAGGCTGATGAAAAACACAGGAACGGGAAACAGCAACGCATTCATGTGAACAGGAACGTCTCTGTGCACCAACAGATCATGTGATGGTGTGGAGCATTATCCATGCATAGCTGAAAGCTGCAGGCTTCATACACTGTGTTATTGGGCTTTGTAGTTTGCGTATTAAAGCCTATATTTCTGTGCTGACATTAGCAGCACATGGTTGTATCATTTCTTTGTATTTTATCCTTAACAGAACTGTCAAAAGTTGGATTTCTGTAAGTCATTGTAGATGAAACCACTTCAAACTCAAGGATGCACGCCGCTCAGCCTGCGAACAGTTTCCTTTCTATTAAAAGAAGAATCTGGAGACCACGGGAATGATTTCTTTAAATTTGAGGCACGTTTCTGGTGCAGATGCTGCACAAGGTGGTCGTCCCACTCATAGCGTCTGTCTCGACAGGTTCGTCCCCCGACACGACGACGAGCTGGAGCTGGAGGTGGACGACCCGCTGCTGGTGGAGGTCCAGGCCGAGGACTACTGGTATGAAGGTTACAACATGCGGACCGGCGCCCGAGGGATCTTCCCCGCCTACTACGCCATCGAGGTGACCAAGGACGCCGAGAGCTACAAAGGTACTGGTCCTGCTGGGGTGTGTGGGAGGCTGGCTCTGAGTGTTTCAGGAAAGATGCTAAAAATGACAATGGAGCCGTGCACAAAATCACAGCCTTGCACAGCTGTTGTCCTTCAATATTTGTGCTGTTTAGCTTCATTTTTGGAGAAATTACCTGCTGTTGACACACGGCCACAGTTGTGAAGCACCGTTTCCACTCTTGCACGACAAAAAGCTCAAGTTGCACCACATTTAACCAAGCACGTGTTCCACCCCACACACTATTGTTCTCAGTGGGTTACTTCCATTAGTCTCGTGGTAAATGTTTGTTTTCTGTCCGTGTTCTGAGATACATGAGAATCTACAGTGATGACGTCAAATCAGTTGTCAGCATTCACTGGAAGTAGGAGTTGTTAATGGCTACAAAATCCTCTAAAACGAGATAGTAAAATGTGAATAGGTTCTATTTTATCTTCATATGTGGACGGTATCATGTTTGAGAAACAGATTCATGGAAAGCCATGCAAACACAAAATCAGTTCACCTGGAAGCATTAGAGCAGCGGTCCCCAACCACCGGGCCGCGGACTGGTACTGGGCCGCACAGAAAGAAAGAAAGAAAGAAAAAAACAAAAAAGGTTTATTGTTTTATTTTTATTTCCAGCGCAGTCTACAAGGTGTTTTATTTTGAAAAATGACGAGCTCGTCTTCCCGTCACTTCAGTCTGTGCTTGTTTCCTGCACAAACAAAGTCGTCGGTCTAACGAAATGTATAAAAAAACGAACGTCTCTGGAGAGCTTTTCTTTGGAAAGACTCGATGCTGAGACAGAAGAAAAACTAAACACGTATTTAGCAAGTAATTTTATTCATTTGTGAAACTTATTAAGAGAAGAGAATCTTATTTTTTGTTATGTGTGCAATGACCGGTCCGTAGTGCAAAAAAGATTGGAGACCGCTGCATTGGAGAACCATGGCCGTGTATCCATTCCTTCATTTCTTTCCATTTCTATGCTTGACTGAAAATGGTCTATAGTTGACATGAAATAATCAGAATCTGATTTAGAAGTGCTTGCATTACAGGGTCGCCGCTTTAGCTCACCTGGTTGAGCTGGCGTCCCATGTACAGGAGCCATAGTCTCCAATGCAGCGGCCGTGGGTTCGAATCCCGCTCATGGCCCTTTGCTGCAACCCTTTCCCCACTTTCCTGTCTCTCTTTCGACTGTCCTATGTCGTAAAGGTCATTTAAATAACTTTAAAATGTTTTTGTTTTAGTTTTTCTCCTTCGGGTCTGAGATTTGTGCGGTTTAGAAAATATGTACACACGTGTTGTGGTGTGGGCTTATAATTTTAAATTAAGGGGGGAAAAAGTGTATTTTGTTTTGGGCGTATAAGTATATGTTGTAATAAGTAATAGTAGACTTATAATTGTGTTATTGTTACAGAGATTGAACCTTGAAAAGCTGCATCATCGTAGCAGGTTTAGTGAAAACAGCAGTGAAGACTAAAACAAAGGCAGTTAAACTTACCTGAGTTTACTGAAGATGTTTCACCTGTTATTTGATGATCTATTCCCCGAACTGGATGGTAAAGAAGTGCAGTGATGCACGTGTCACGCCTAAAGTGATCAATAATTACAAGTTATTTATATCCAAGAAGAGACAGAAAGGTGTAATGCAAGAAAGCAGCAGCAAGGAGGAGACAGAGAGTTAAGTTCTAGTGTCAGTCCACATGTTCCTCCAGTCGGATTTAGCCGTAAGTATTCCACAGATCTAACTGATTGTCCACAAAATGCAGTTTAATCGTTATAACGAAATACATGGAGGCTTCCAGGATGTATGTGTGAGAAGCCTCCATTAGGTTTTTTTGGCTTTGTGAAGGCAGCTGAATGAATGTTTAGGCTGTTGGGTTTTAGGATTCACCTCAGATCAAGAAAGACACAGTTAAAGGTGGAGAGACCCAGAGTTTCTAGGTTCAGCGCTGCCTCAGGCTTTGGTGTGTTTTAGAGAATCTGCGAGGAGCCTGTACGGAGGAAGCTCTGATCTCCAGGTTAAAGTGAACTCTGAGGAGAATTACGCATTACTTCTGAAGCTCCTCTCTGTCAGATTAGGCTGCTAGAGCAGGAGGGGGAAGGATGAAATGATAAATGAGGGTAAAAAATACAAAACAACTGCAGAGCTACAACTGAACTTATTTTATCTCTTTAAAAAGAGCAACTAACTCGAATTTCAGAGCTTGAATAAATTACTGCCATATGTTATGTAGGGCTGTGTTGTTCACTGCCTTTGATTTTTGTTCCCTGAGCTCTGGCTCTTATCCTGTTTTTCCTCTCCCCTCTATGCAGTGAAGACCAGCGAATGGATGGACAGATACCGGCTCAAGTTCCTGGGCTCAGTCCAAGTGCCCTACCACAAAGGAAACGATGTTCTGTGTGCAGCTATGCAGAAGGTAGCGCGTCCATGTTGTGCACCTTTCTGTGTGTTTGCATGTGTAAAACAAATAAATCTATAAATGCGTACGAGGTGCAATCAAAAAGTTGTGAGACAACGCCGATTAAAAAACTAAATCCACACTCGATCCACTTCACGCTGTCACGCTTGGAAACGCTTCCTGGAAGTCCCGTTATGTAAGCACGTGGAGCACCATCTGCGACGGCCACCGAATCGCCGAAACTGTGTCAGAACGGCGACCCGTCACTTTGAATTTAATGTTAGGCGAAGAGGAAGAAGTCGCAGCGAGCCAAATGTGGCAGGTAGCGGAGGCGGGTGGAGAGAGACGACAGTGTTCCCGTAGCCAAAAAACCAATGTGTAATCACAGCGCTGTGACTTTTGGAACAGCCACGTGCCAAATGTTCTCCGTCAGCTGCCTCGGGACGTTACAGTAGAACTCTGCCTCAGCAGTCCGACCCTGTGGGACGAATTCATGGTGCACAACCTTGCGAATGTCAAGAAAACAACAAGCGTGCCCTCAGTGCAGCCCTGACCTGATGCGCCTCGTCTAGCCTGGGAAACTTCAGCTCCTCCGCCGTCAGCGCTGCCGTGTGGCGTCTCAGTCAGAGCCACAGATTTACTTCTCCAGTGATAATTTTCGACATAAAGGTTGGACCGTTCCAGGCTGCTGACAACACAGGCTGCATTCCAAATCACACTTTTTCCTTTTATCTAAAGTAAAGCTTCCCTCACAAACTGCTTACTGTTTTTTGCAGCATGCATACAACTGGGATGTACAATGTCGTCATAAGAATACCATTAACCTTTCACCGCTGCAGTCTGTTGTGTGAAATTGGCTGTCGTCTGTTTCTGCACGATCGGTGGCTCAGACTTGTTTAAATTTGTGTACAACACAAAAGCGCATGTGATGCAACTGTGCAGAGGAACGGCAAGAAAACCATGCTGGTTGCATATTTTAAAATCCAACAGGATGTAGTAGGACATGCTACATCCGATGTGTTGGGACATGATGAATCTTTTTCTACTGTGCTATATAGATATAATACATGCTATATGGAAACATGGACGGGATCTCTCTGCTCCTGTTTGAGGTTCATGCTGGAATAAAAAAATGTGCAGCTACCAGTGGTTGCAGACAAAACTGTGCAACACGGGTCTCACCGTTGATTCCATGACGTCATGTTGCATCCTGACAAAGACTCACTGCTCTCTCATAGTGAACACACACCCGGACACGTCTCTGAACTTCCTGATTGCCCCTAATGAGCAGCTATTTTCCCAGAAGATGGGGAAGCATGTTAAAGGAGGAAGTGCAACACATGTACTTATGTGGTTTAAGCACTTTAGGGAAGGCTTTAGCGTCCACAATAGAAAATTTCCTCCATACTTGTGCTCATTAGGTTTTGGTAATCATGCAGACGACACGTTAGTATGGAGCAGTGAGAGTGTCAAATTACAAAAATAAATCAACAAAAGAATTTTAAAAAATAATAAAATAAAAGTGGAAATAAAAAGAAGTCAATAGATAATGTGGCAATATAGAGCAATATTATTAAAAAATTAATCCATAAAAGAAAAAGCTAATAAAAGTAGAAATATAAAGACAAATAAATAAAATAATATTTTTTTTCATTTTTTAAACTGTATTTATTTTTATTGATTCTTTTATAATGTCGCTTTAAAAGCACAGGAAACATGTGCTTTTAAAGTGACATTATAAAAAATAAATATAAAAAAATAAAAATGAAACAAATAATTAAAATTTTATTTTATTTAAAAATAAAAAATAAAAAAATAAAAATAATAAAAAATAAATTTTAAAATAAAAAGAATAAAAAATATATTTAATTTTATTTTATTTGTCTATATTTCTACTTTTATTTGCTTTTTCTTTTATGGATTCATTATTGCTTTATATTGCCACATTATTATTATTTTTTTTTATTGTTATTCTATTTACTTCCTCTTTTATTTTATTATTCTTTTATTGATTTGTTTTTGTAATTTGGCACTCTCACTACTCCATACTTTAGGAACGTGGCAGAAAATAAAAAAATAAAGAAATAAAGAATGTCAACAACAGGATGAACTGTAATATACCAGCTTAAGCGTATTCTATCTAGTATAGAATTGTTTGTTACATTTTAAGAATCATGTCTTGACTTTTTTTTCTTCCAGATTGCCACCAACAGAAGGATGACAGTCAAGCACAATCCGCCTTCGTCCTGCATCCTGGAGATCAGCGTGAAAGGCATCAAGCTCGAAGTTCAGGAGGATTACTACGCCTGCGACAGAGTAAGACTCTGACTGTCCCTTTGTCTCTCTAAAGTGGAATAACTTACATGCAGCTTTGTGGCCTTTCGTCAAATAAAAGCTGGTGTTCACACCAGAATCTGATCTGAGCCATTGAGGCACGTCTCCCCCGTGTGGCTGCAAGCTGCAACTGCAGGCAAACCTGTGACGGAGGAGATCTTCCTGAATTATTTCCATTTTCAGCCCCTTTAAACTCGTTGGGACTTTTTTTATCTACTACATTTATCTGACAACTCGTCATTCGTTGCTTTCCATATTCAGGTTTTACATGTTGAACATTTATAATTTCAATTCAAAAGTTATTTATGAGATAAATCTTATAGAAGAACTGCATTTTTTAAAAAAGTGAACGAACTATTAATCACTTAAATTTAGCAACAGAATGCTGCAGCAGATTATAGTCACAAATTATACAAATCCCAAATCAGTCCAGTTTACCAAGACACTGAACAAAGAAAAACATTTAAAAAATGAGAAAACGTTTGGCATTTTTACTGGAATAAACGCTTCGTTCTTGTTGATGTCGAGCTCGGACATTTATCCCGCCTGTTCTTTCTGTGTCCTGCTGACAGAGTAACGAGTGCAGTCACTTCTTCCAGCTAAAGAACGTCTCCTTCTGTGGCTATCACCCCAAAAACAGCAAGTAAGTGACGGCAGGAGTCGAACGTTTTTTTTCCCCCTCTGACGTCAAACGCTGGATTTGATTTCTGAACCTGTTGCCTGCTCTCGGATGAAATGCAAAACAGCATGTTGCTGCTGATATGTGACACAAAGAATGAAGTGTTCTGAAGTGTTTTGTCCGTCTTATCTGCAGGTATTTCGGTTTCATTACGAAGCACCCAGCGGACCAGAGATTTGCCTGCCACGTGTTTGTGTCTGAAAACTCCACCAAACCTCTTGCCGAGTCAGTCGGGTGAGTTGGACCTGCCGGCATGTATGAAATACATTAATACTTTGCATGGAGGAGATTTGCGTATTTTGCTTCGCCTCTGTTTCCACGTGCAGACGTGTAATCTGTGTTAAAGCTGCTCTCATCTGCACCAGAGCAACACAAGCACATTAAGAGAATCTTCATCAAGCTGACATTACAGGCTCTGAATTTTGATGGAAAAAAACAAAAAAACAACTAACTGCAATTGAGAAAACACAAATAGAAGCTGCAGGGAGGACAGAAAGCAGATGTTTTCCCAGGCAAAATGCGACCGACTCGGCTCGCGTCACCGACTATCGGCACACTAACTCTGCATTTATGTTGGTGGTGTTGTTGTTTCCATGAGGTTTCCACCAAAGGGATCAATAAAGTTCTGTTCTATTCTATTCTATTCTTTGGATTTTCTGTATTTGCAGTTTCTGTTTAACACTAAACTAGAAATTAAAACTTTGAATTAAGGATTAGAAATGACCGTTTGTTTGTTTGTTTGTTTGTTTTCCTTCAGGAAAGCCTTCCAGTTGTACTACAAAGAGTTTGTGGAGTTCTCGTGCCCCACAGAGGACATCTACCTGGAGTAGCCCTGCCTTTAACCGCAGCCCTGTACAGTACACTGTATCATAACATAATGTTGCATGAAGGACAGACATATCTAAATTTAAAAGAAAAAAAAATAAATAAATAAATGAATTAACACATCTGACAAACGAGCAGGAAAAGAAGGATCAAGTGTTGGAACTGCAGCAGGAAGAGATGGAAATGAGCCAAATGAGGAGTGTCTTAAGAAAAGAAAATATGCAAAATGGCATCGGTGACGAGGTGGCGACCACAGGCTGCTACAGGAAAGCACAAACAGTATATCTCTGCAGCCTTGGCAGCGCTAGTTAGCCTGTAGCATCATCTGAGCGGGTGTGACACTGAAAGCCCAGGAGACGTGGCGGACTGCACTGCCTTGTACTTGCACTGGAGAGGAAGAACAGCAGCAGCAGCAGCAGGAGTTTGCTTTGACTTTAAATATCGAGAGTCTGAGCAGGAGGGACGTGTATATTTACTAAGCAACATCCTCACACTGAAAACGTACACAAAGTGAAATAAAAATCCATGTAGGAACAGTGAATTTTATCCTTTTAGCACACCTCATATAAGGGTGTTATTCACATTGTTCAAACTACAAAATCCACCTAAATCACTGTTTAAAAAAAAACAAAAAAAACGGCAATAAGCGATGTTTTCTGCATTTTTGGGTCCTTTTAGACGTTTGGCACGGGGCGTATAAACGTCACTGATGAAGCCCAAACAGGCTGCTGTTGCCATTGACCAAGAAGCAAGGAAGGGCCAGAATTTCATTTTATTACCAAGATGATCAATAAAATAGGACATCAACACTTATTCTGGAAATGGTTTAACAACCGAAAAGGGGAAAATGCCAAAAAATGAACTGGTTTCAGCTTCTCTGTCAGTGGTTCGCAGTCGGACGGGAAAAAGATTTCAACATCCCAAAAAAAACAAATGCAGGCACTTTCCCATGCTATTGGGTAATCACAAATTAAAAGTAGTAGCAGACGAGGCGTGGTAGAATAAAAACTGGGGATGTGCCAATCAAGTTTTCTTGCCCCCAGTCTGATCCGAATCATTCAGTGTGTCGTATCTGCCGATCCAGTTCCATTTCCTTGCCAATACGGTCTTATTGTTTAACACTAGAGGAGGAGGAGGGAAGGATCTATAGCTAGCGACGGGCATCACGACGAGGTTTCTGTGCCGCTTAATGACCTCCAGCTCATGTTTGGGGGGAAAAAAGCCGGGATCCGCCGGGACGTTGGTCCTACATCCCGTAGAGACGTAGAGTTGCATTTGCATTTCAAATCATGTCAAACAAATCAGCAATAACAAAATTTATCCGCATTTGCATTGCTATCGCCGTGTCAAAGTCTCCCTTTGAAACACTCGTGTGGCCGCGGGCACAAACAAAGGATCAGGCTGAGGTCGAGTCAATACTGATCAGTTACAAAAAAAAATCCCTTGATCGGATCGGGTTACGAAAAAACCCCTAAAGAACTCCTAAAGTGCACTGTGCATCACTTGTCCGTGCTGAGATTAAAAAAAAAAACAGACAAAAAGATAAACGGTGTGAGGGTGTACGGGTGTGGATTTATTCCTTTCAAACTTTTAGCAGCTTGTGTTGGCGTAGTGCTCAGCTAAACAGGCCCCACCACATGCCCGATAAAGCCTTAGTTCCCAGTCTAACGCCGGACACACCGCGCTTCTTTACCGCGTGTTCTAACTAGGTGTGAAATCAAAGATGTTAAATAGGGGGATTTAAAAAAAAATAAATAAATCTGGGTTCGGCTGAATCTCCTTCATGTGGTGTTCTAGAAACGTGCTCCTCAGTTTCCACATCAGAAATATGAAATGCTCTCAGTGTAGCAGCGATACGGCGAAGTGAAGGCTGATGCTCGGTGCAGTCGGTGCAGGTGCTAGCGAGGGAGCAGAAACTAAAAAAAACAAACTCTGGTGTCTTCAGATCTTCACTAGTAGTGCCTCTTTTTCATCAGATCATCGTTCCTGGGTGAACATTACCACAACGTTTTAAGGGATTGAGTGTGTGTTGAGTTTAAGAGTTTTGAATGAAAATTGTTTAATTTTTTATTTTTTTGCTGTGACGTGCTTTTTGTTCCACTGCAGTAGACGTGCTGCGCCTGTGCTGCTGAACTCAAATCCGGTTTTTCGTGGGTTTGTTTTTAGTGCAAGTTTAAAGCAAGTGTGTCCGTTTCCCAAAAGTAAGAACAGACATGACTGAAAAAAGTCCAAGAAAAATAGTACGCATGATGCAAGAATGCAAGAAATAAAAATGCAGCAAGACCCCAAAATATGCTAGAATTAGATTCTGGATGATATTCATATCTGTGATGATCGGTTTGAGATGAAGCTCTGGCTCATGAGCTGGTGACGAGCAGTGACTGAACCGTTCTTGCTAGTAAGACGACAGCTATTGATGCCTGATTTCCCTTTTAACTAGTAGGTGCTGAGACCGCAACACCACAATCTTTAAACTGTACAACAGCAGACATCTCGCCACTCAGGCTGTTTCTTCTAACCAACTACCACATCATTATAATTAAAAAAAAAAAAAACTTGAATTAACAAGCAGGGGTTGGTGTCTTGGGTGGGAAGGCTGCAGCCCACCTCCACAGTCACCTCCTGCACAGTGTCCCAAGTAAAAGCACAAACACGGCCCCGAAAAACCTGCTTTTACTCCTGTGTGAATTGGAACAAGGCTTCAGAGATCACACACGACCACTAAACTAACCTCAAACCGACCGCCTTCTTATTCCCAAACTGCTTGTCTAACCCCTATTATTACTATGAGCCCGCTCTGTTAAAGGAGGCGAGAATCAACCCCGTCCGCCAACAAGCAAATAAAATGCCAGATAAATAAATTGGCACAGTCTTTTTTTGTGTCTTCAGGCTTTTCAACCATGTGACTGAAAACCAATAAGGTCAGAGCCTTGCCTGTCGAATAAAAATTAGATTTCAGCAAAACATAAGAAAAAATTTGCAAAGCAGCCACAGAATCTGCACCCATGATTAGATTTAAGCAAGTGAAAGTGTTGCGTTGCTGGAAATTCGAAAGCAGAGCCCCATTTCTGACCCGCTGAAAACCTGCAGAGATTTCAATAAAAGATGTCAACGAACTAAACGGCATGTACGAAATATTCAGCCAACGAATCGGGAAGACCTCGAAGTCGCATGAAAAGTACTGTTCAAATGAAATGCCATCAAAAGCAATAACGACATTTTACATTTCAGAAAGATTTGCATCTCAACTTGGAGTCATTAGGATGAAAAGAAAAGAAAATCTAAATCTAGTGATAAATATTTCAGCCGTTTTTAAATCAAGCTGCCGACCTGCCTTGACCCCAGAAAACCAAAGGATTGCCATGTTTGTTTTTTTCCTTCCCATCATCATCGTGGGTCCAGCACAGGTTCAGCACAGTTGTGTTGCAGTGAAAAGCAAAGTGTTCTTCATCATGGATCAACATTTAACCACTGATTTGTACCTGATTGTTTCATGTCATCTATATTTAACGGAGGATGAAATGCCTGTAAAAAAAAAAAAGACAGATGAACCAATGAAGGACATTTTGTATTCAGCCATCTCTCCGGTTCCCACAGTTTGTCCCTTTCAAAGTAAAAA